CCACCCCCGGCTGTCCCGCGCCGCACTTGTCTCTAAGCCCTGGGCAAGGAGGCGTCCCTGTACTGGCGGGTTGTGACTGGGGGTTCTTGTCTGTCCTCCCCTCTGGGATGCGAGCTCTGGGTGGGGTGACTCTGTCCAGCGCGCAGAGGGAGGTACTGGATGATCACTGCAGAATCAAGGGAGGCGTGGGGCTCAGGACGGCCGCATCCCTTCCTGACCGCCCGAGCCCTCCCTCCGCGCTCTTCTGGGGGAGCTGTATTCGTGTCCAGGGTCTCCCGCCCCAGCAAACGAGATCCTCGGGGCGACACGGGACCAGGAGGAAACCGGGGCCTGGACGGTCAGACCGAGCAGAACCCGCTCGCGGCGGGGCACGCGCGCCACCTGGCGGCCGAGTCCCGCCAACACAGCGCCTCCGGGAGACCGGGAGGTTTGCTGTGGGCGAGGTGGGATCGCGTCTGAAAGGGGGACGCTCTCGGGAGTGGTCCCGGCGGGGGTCTGGAAATCAGTGCGAGGCTGGGGGCCGTCTCCCAGAGGCTCCCAGACTTTTCTGACCGTGATGCACAGTAAGAAATCATTGCACATTAACATAGCTTCAGGAAATGCCACCCTGTACAGCATGATATATATATATATTTTTAATTCTACTCTGTTCCTATTTTGAAATTCTGGTCAGATCCCCTTAAATTGATTCACTGACTCTCTAACAAGTCTCCATTGATAATCTAGGAAAGTGTTTGCCACTGTCCTAGATTATCTTCAGGTTTTTTGTGTTTTGGTTTTTTTTGTTTTTTTTTTCCCAGCTGACAAAAGTTACGATGGAAAAAGGGTTAGCACTCCGACGATTCCCTAGCAGTATTATTCCACCACCTTGTGCTGTCACCAGGGATTCCCCCAGATTTCGAGATAAACTGGGCTCAGAGAGGTAAAGACACTTGTCCAAGGCCACACAGGTTATATGCTGCAGTGTTAGTTTCTGCCTCGCTCCTGGAGCATAGAATTCACTAAATGCCCCGAATTTCACTGCTATTAAGTACAGTTTAATTCAGTCCTTTCTCCATTTTTGCCAGTAAGATGGAGCTGCACTGGCCGGCTGGTTTTCTATTCTGTGTAATGTAGATTAATGACATCCCAGAGTTCACGCTTAGAAATGCGAGTCTCGGGGCGCCTGGGTGGCTCAGTTGGTTAAGCGACTGCCTTCGGCTCAGGTCATGATCCTGGAGTCCCCGGATCGAGTCCCGCATCGGGCTCCCTGCTCGGCGGGGAGTCTGCTTCTCCCTCTGACCCTCCTCCCTCTCATGCTGTCTCTCATTCTCGCTCTCAAATAATAAAAAATCTTTATTAAAAAAAAAGAAAAGAAAAGAAATGTGAGTCTCCATATGGAACAGAGCGGATCTAAGATGGCAATAAGGGGTCTTCGGCTGAGGTGACAACCGCTGGCATCTCCAACACCAACAACACTTTCACCACCACCATCACCACAGCCCCTTCCGACGCCAGCAGCATCATCAGCATGACCATCATCCCCGCCGTCAACCACGTCGCCACCTTCCCTCTCACCATCACTACCCCCAACCCACCACCACCACCACGACACCCATCATCACCATGATTGCCCAATGTCACCACCACTACCAGGAAAGTCACCCACCCCCACCTCAAAAGCAGGCATTGGGAAGCCACTCGTTTTGTCTCCTAGCTACAGCCTTGATCCAGCGAGCCTGCATTCTCCATCCATCCCTCTCCGCACCCAGGGCCAAAGGGGAAGTGACTGTGACATCGAGGGCAGTGCTGGGAACTTGCCTGGGAACCAAGAGCATTCCCGGTTTGATTCTCTGGCTTCTCCGTCAGTGGCCTCGGATGTATTCTGGGCTCACGGTGACCATCTATAAACAGCGAGCCCAGCCCTGGACCAGGGGAAGGCAGGGAAGGGTCTGCTCAGTGTAGGTCTAGGACCCTCGAGGGGGTTGAGAGTCGGGGTCAGCCTGAATCCCTCCTGCTAGAGTGGTTCATGAGAGCTTTGGAGGAGGGGCTGCTGAGGGCCTGGGATCACTGTGCTCACCTTCCTGTCTTCAGAAAGAAAGAGGAGGAAGTCATTGTGGACAGTGGATAGGGCAGGTGGTCATGACTCCGCTCCACACCAAGATGAGACTCCGGGTCCCAGATGTGAGCACGGGAATGGCACTTGCACGTCCAGAAGCCAAGGGAGCTGTTATTTCCATCTCCTTCCTGCAATACCAGTTTTTACACTTCTTGTTCACTCTTCTTTTTTTTTTTTTAAAGATTTATTTATTTATTTATTTGAGAGAGAGAGAATGAGAGACAGAGAGCATGAGAGGGAGGAGGGTCAGAGGGAGAAGCAGACTCCCCGCCGAGCAGGGAGCCCGATGCGGGACTCGATCCAGGGACTCCAGGATCATGACCTGAGCCGAAGGCAGTCGCTTAACCGACTGAGCCACCCAGGCGCCCCTTTGTTCACTCTTCTATCCCCGGAAGCTAGTACAATTATGACACATAGTACGTACTTAATATTTGTCAAACTAATGGGGAAAGAGCAACTATAAGGAAAAAAGAGAGCGTTCTTTATCATAAAGTTAATTCAAAGGATCTGAGCTGATAAGATGTGAAGAAGACAACTTTTTTTACAAGAATATTAATTTTGTCCAGTGCACCAGAGAGACTGGACATTTCTAACTCCCTCCAACTTGCCCTGTTCCTTATTAATATTACTCAGAAGCAACTTCTACAGGGTTTTCTGGGATGCCAAAAACTATAATAATTGTGGCCATGTCCAGTAACTGTTCCCTCTGGAAGGTTTTCACCCTGATGGGTTGTCTTACTTGATCATTTGCTGCCCTGCTGACTTCCTGCATGTAGCCTCTACAAATACAAGTAAGCTTTCTCATCAGATCAGAAGATCAATAGCCTTTTCCTCTTTTCTTCTTTTCCCATATGCATGATGGAAAATTAAATCCCATGACTCTGATGGATTATTTTACAAATAAAACTAGTGAGCCCACGTGGCATTAAATGGTACCCGGACCACATACGACCGAACGTCGGGAATGCCTGAGCGTGAAAGGTGGCGACCCCTGCTGGCTGCCCAGACACTCACAGGCTCACCCCGAAGCTTGTTAATTCCAAACAGGAATTTTATATATATATAGATAGATAGATTTTATTTATTTGACAGAGAGATTGAGAGCACAAGCAGGGGGAACGGCAGGCCGAGAGAGAAGGAGAAGCAGACTCCCTGCTGAGCAAGGAGCCCGATGCGGGGCTCGGTCCCAGGACCCTGGGATCATGACCTAAGCCAAAGGCAGTCGTTTAACGACTGAGCCACCCAGGCGCCCCAGGAATTTTTAGTCTGAAAGCTACACCAAAATACAAAGGTTTGAATTAAGAGAGAACTTAATTTCTGTTACCCTAATTTTCTCATTTACTTTTTTTTTTTTTTTTTAAGAGTAGGCACCATGCCCAATGTGGGGCTTGAACTCACGACCCTGAGATTAAGAGTGGTGTGCTCGGGGCACCTGGGTGGCTCAGTCATTAAGCGTCTGCCTTCGGCTCAGGTCATGGTCCCAGGGTCCTGGGATCGAGCCCCACATCGGGCTCCCTGCTCCCTGCTCCTGCTTCTCCCTCTCCCACTCCCCCTGCTTGTGTTCCTACTCTCGCTCTCTCTCTCTCTCTCTGTCAAATAAATAAATAAAATGTTTAAAAAAAAAAGTTAGGAAGTCCAATTAAAGTGTTTTGCTCCTATAAATGACCCTGTGATGGTGTGTGTGTGTGTGTGTGAGTAACCTACGTGATTGCAACATCACTGAGCACCCACAAGTTCAGGGATATCACACTGAAATATGCAGGTGGTAATTCATGCTTCCAGAGGCAAGGCCAAAGCCAACATTGATTGGCACATTTTGGACAATTACTGAAGCCGAGACCAAACTCTGATGCCCCCCAACATTACCCCCCAACTCCCCGCCCATGTGGAGGTCATTTAGAGTTTCCATATAAAGCAGGAATCCACATCTTCTTTCAGCTCAGGACCCAGGTCCAAGATAACCCTCTGCAGCGAAAAGTTCCTTAAAGCCTCTGTGATCTAGCAAAGGAGCAAAAATGGGGTTTTCCTGCATTAGCATATATTAATCCCTATCTTCAGATTTTTTTTTTTTTTTTTTTTTTTTTTAGGGTCAAGCCAGTGAGGTCAAGCGCTGTCCATTTAAGAGGACCTGGCTGGGGGAAAAAAAAAAAAAAAGGACCTGGCTGACCTCCCGGAGGTCAGAAGTCATGATATCCCACTAAAAAGTTCTAGAAGGCTTTGATCACAACTAGCTTATGCTCCTTGGGTTGGGGCCCGGAAGGTAAGACCAGCCAGTCCATTTGGGGTCCACGGTACCAACAAGATTACATCCTGGTTTATCTTGAGACTATCCTCCTGCTATCTATCTATCTATCTATCTATCTATTTATTTATTTATTTTAAGATTTTATTTGAGAGAGAGAGAGAGCACATGAGAGGGGGAGGGTCAGAGGGAGAAGCAGACTCCCTGCCGAGCAGGGAGCCCGATGCAGGACTCGATCCAGGGACTCCAGGATCATGACCTGAGCCGAAGGCAGTCGCTTAACCAACTGAGCCACCCAGGTGCCCCTATCCTCCTGCTATTTAAAGTGCCTTCTTGGGGCACCTGCGTGGCTCAGTTGGTTAAGCGTCTGCCTTCAGCTCAGGTCATGGTCCTGCGTTGGGCTCTCTGCTCAGCAGTGAGTCTGCTTCTCCCTCTCCCTCTGTGATATTTCTTGCTCTCTTTCAAATAAATAAAAATAAAATCTTAAAACTATATATATAAAGGGCCTTCTTTTTATTTTTATTTTTAAAGATTTTATTTATTTGACAGAGACATACCGAGAGAGGGAACACAAGCAGGGGGAGTGGGAGAGGAAGAAGCAGACTTCTTGCGGAGCAGGGAGCCCGATGCGGGGCTCGATCCCAGGACCCTGGGACCATGACCTGAGCCGAAGGCAGACACTTAACGACTGAGCCACCCAGGCGCCCCAAAGTGCCTTCTTTTTAGATCAGGGTTTTGTACTGGTACCAAGGAGACTTTTTTTTCTTTTTGTTGTTAAAGTTTTAAAATTGTTGAGGCATTAGCTTTGTTCATTGGGAACTGAGATTTTTTGCTGTCAAAAATTTTAAGGCAACTTCCATTTTTAAAAAGTTTGGGACTGGGCAGGCACTACAAATCAAGGTTTTTGCTTTTGTTTTCATTCTTTTTCCTGAAAAGCCAGTTGTTAAATAGGTAGCAATGGGGGGGCCTCCCCAGATGATAGGGCCAGGTGAGGAGAGAGGAAGACTGGGTTATCTGAACAAGTGAGAAGCACTATGTCAATTTCCCTTCATGGACCATCATACACATGATCACAGATAGTTTTGAGCATTATATTATGTGCCAGGTACTGTTTCTAAGGCTTCATGTGGACCAATTCATTTCTTCGCACAAAAAGTCTTTGAGGTGTGCACAATCATCCACCTATTTTAAGGAGAACGAGGCCCAGAGTATTACCTTCCTTGACTGGGAAGGTGGATGATGGAGTATCTGTCTGGATTTGGTCATATTAGATTTAGACAGGGCATTCAGCAGGACCCGAAAGAGTGCCCCACGGTGTTCTAATCCCCCTCCCTCCCAAACCAGCCCACAGCGGGGAGGGGACAGTCTACTTTATCTCTGTGACCCCAGCGTTAGGGAGGTCCTCAAATATTCTTTTCCCTCTCTCCTTCCAGGCACATGGACAGACTGCACTTCCCACCATCCCTCCCCTTTGAAGTTATGCATCGTTGAATGACCTGCTTGGGCCAACAGATGCCGAGTGGAAGTGACATGTTTCATATCCAGGCAGAAGCTGTATGAGTCACTGCAGCTTCGCCACTTTCTCTCTCTTCCCAGTGCCAAAGAATTGCCAGCGCTCCGGAGAGATGCTGTTCCCTCAGCCTGGGTCACAAGGATGATGTGGAGCAGAGCCCTGAGGTGACCCATAAAAGACCAGTAACACTGGCGAGTAATAAACCTTTGCTGCATGAGGCCACTGAGATCCTGGACTTGTTTGTTACTGGAGCATAACCCAGCCTATCCTGACTGATACATCCTAGTTTTCAGTAGAGCCTAAAATGTGGTGGTCTTAAAAAAAAAAAAAGAAATAGGGGCCCCCAAGTGGCTCAGTCGGTTGAGCATCTGACTCTTGGTTTCGGCTCAGGTCATGAGCTCATGCGTCATGGGATCCAGCCCAGCGTCGGTCTCCCTGCGCATCGGGGAGTCTGCTTGAAGATTCTCTGTCCCCTCCCCCCACTCACTCTCTCTTTCTCTGTCTCTCTAAATAAATGAATCTTAAATGAATGCATGCATGAATGAATGAATGAATGCACGCATGAATGAATGGGAATAGGGACAAGGTCATACATCTCCAGGCTGGAGGTAGAGGAAAGAGCCACATCTCAAGCTTGCTCGCACATACACACTTGTAACTAGGCTGGGGTCAAACTCAGGCTCTGACCTTTATTTCCTCTGCTCACAGCTCATGCTGACCCTGACATCATTGCTCCAATTCTCCCCCCGCTGCTCAGTACTGGGGGCTCCTGGGGAGGGTGAGGAAGGAGGAGCTACAGAGACAGGGACATGAGGTACAAGGAGAGCCTGGAAGACAGATGCAGGAGTGGGGATTAGAGGTGAGGAAGCAGAAACAGGAGGTGGTCAGGGGGGACAGCCGGAGGGGTTAGGGCAGAGCTGGGGGGAGAGATGCGAACCCAGTACAGAGATACGCTGAATGGGAAGCCAGGAGAACAGGAAATTGGGAGACAGGAAGGGAAAGGAGGGTTGGGAACAGAAAGGGACCAGGAAACAGAGCTGAGGACATGGCGAGGAGCGGATGGAAACAGACGGGGACACGGTGCAGGGCAGGTGCAGGGCAGGCACAGACAAATGTGGCGCAAGAGAGCCGTGGAGAGTCACGGGGAAACCTCGAGGCAGAAATGCCGAGAAGGCTAGCAAGGAGCCACGGGCAGGGTGGGCGCCCTAGTCTTTGCTGGTGGTGGAGCCCCTGTTGGTGCTGGAGGTGGGGCCAGGGCTCGAGACTTGGCCTCTGCTGGACCCGAGGCCTCCACTTGATTCTGACTCCATGCCTCTGCTCTCCGCACCTGCATGGCTTTCGTGGACGCCGCTGGACCCCACGTATCCAGTGGACCCCAGGTAGCTACTAGAGCTGGGGGTTCTGAAGGTCACACGGCCCCCCGTTGAGCCCCGGCTGGAGAGCGGTGCTCCCATGGCGCTGACGGAACCAAAGGTCACGTGGCCTGTGCTGGAGCCGGGGTCACCAAAGGTGACACGGCCGACATTGGAACCAGTGGCATGGCCTCCACTGGACACCAGGATGCCACTAGTCCTCTGGCTCAGGATGGACGCGGGGATGATACTGGGGTTCTTGGCGATCACCGAGGGTGAGCCGGAGTTGACCCTCTGGGTACTGGAGAGGCTGGGGACGCTCGGGGTGCTATCGACCTTCTTCATGGCCTCAGCCAGCTCCCGAGCCTCCAGCTGTGGGGGAGGCGAGTTAGGTTCCAGGACAGGGCTGAGGTCCTGCCCCGAACCCGGCAGGTTCCCATCCTCACCAGCTTTGTCACTTGGCTCCGGAGCTCTTCCTCGCTCATTGGAGCGTCATCTTTGGCCTCAAAGCCTGGGGTGTCCTCCCTAAAGTGGGGGGAAGGCAGGAAGGGAGGACACTTGTAGCCACAAAAGGCCGATGGCCCCTCATTGCTATACCCAGAGACCGTTAGCCATGCTCTGGTCAGCCTGGGTGCCCTTTGCCTTTCTGGTCTCCCTGGGGCCAGTTCAGTTCTCTGGAGCCCCAACTCTTCCTGGTCCCCCCCAAAGCACCCACTCCCCCAAACCCTCCATCCCATTCATTGTCCCTCTGCCCCCACGGAATCGCCTTCCCCTGCTCCTCCCTCCTGCCTTGTGCCTCACTGGTTCTCAGGGAGCTGAGGCAGGGCCATCTTCTTTGGAAGATCCTCAGGGCTCTGGCCCAGAACCAGGAGGGCAGTGTTAACCCAGCTCGGGGAGGTGTAGTTCTAGAGGGTGGATAAAACAGTGGTCAGCTCATCCCCAAGGCCCTGGCTTCCAAGATTTGGGCTCCCTGTCCCCGCCCCCCCCAGAGCCTCCTACATCTCCACCTGAAAATCTAGGTAGGCCTGCACGGACAGGAGCTCGACCAGCCGCTTCTCGATGAGGCCCAGGAAGAGGCCAATGTCCCGGTCTCGCATGTGGGTCTTGACCCCCAGGAGGTCCTTGATGATGGTGTTGTCACACTGGGCCCTGGTGAAGAGCTGCTGGATGTCTGAGGTTGTGGGGGGGGACAGGCTGTCACAGACTCAGCTCCTGCTGGGAGGCCCGCCCTCTGCTGCCCTCGGGTCTCCACTCGCTGCCCCCTCAGCCAGCCAGGCAGCAGGAAAGCGTGGCTGTGGGCCTGGCTACGGGGCTCGGAACCACAGAAGGCACAAAGCGAGGGAGGGCAATGGGAAAGCTGATAAAGGCACCACCAAGTTTCAAGGCCTTCTTCACGCTCCGTCAGAAACACCTGACTTCCATCCCACCCAGTGACCCCACACTGCCCCATCCCCCACCCCGCCCAGAGAAGCACTCACATGGGTGCTGAACGGGAGAGGTCAGAGGACAGCCATGCACCACCAAGGCTGCCTTCTTCGTTTTTTTTTAATATTGGCCCCCACTTGCACCCGACTGAATTAGCCGTGGCCCTCAGCTGGCCCCCCTGCCACTGTCATGACCCACCCTCGGCTCTCACAGTTGGCCCGTGGGTGGCCCGCTTGTATCTGCTTATTGTTTCAGGGGAACTGGCTATTGTTAGTGACATTAGAAGGCACCCGTGACCTTGACACAAATCTGCAGCCCATGGCACCGTGTCTCCATTGCTTGTCCCCGAGCTGCCTCCACCTGAGCTCCCGACTCCTATATGGTTTCCTCCTGGGGTCTCTCCCTGAACATCCCCCCACAGGGCTCAACTGAGCTCAGGGTCATCCCCAAACCCATTCCTTCTCCCACGTACCCCCGCCAGGCCAGACCCTGTGCGTGCGACCCCCTCCAATCCCCCCCACTGCCCATCCGTCTGATACCTCTGGGTCCGGTCCCCTCCTCTCCATCATCCTCTCTTCCTCCAACCTCCTCCCTCCCACCCCTGTCCACGGCCTCTCCTGCTCACAGCCCTCCCATGGCTCCCCAGTGCTCTAGCCTGGCACCTCTTCACAATCTGCCGCCTTCCCCCTCCCACTCACACCCTTGCACCCCTTCTCCACACAAAAAGCCTACATTCCTACAAGTATCTCCAGGCCTTGACCCGACCCCACCTGCTAGGAGTACCCTCTACCTCCAACTCTTCAGTTAAATACTCATCCTTCAAAATCAGCCTCAAGCACCACCGCTTCCAGGAAGCCTGCAGCCACCCAGCATTGCCGGTTTCAGCAAGCGGCAGGTGCAGGGGCTCAGGGCGCCTGCACTCAGGAGGGCCCCGCCTTGGGCTTGGTGCTCTGCTGTCCTGTCTTGTTTAACAAAGGGCCCTACCTTTCCATTCTGTACTGGGCCCAGCCAATTCCGGCAGAGTTGAGGCTCCCAGGGTGCCTGAGGGTCCTCTGTGCTAGGCCCTGGGATGGTTGTGAGTACCCAGGGTCCCTGCTGGTCTCCTCCCACCCCTGCCCTCGGGGCACTCCTCACTTAACACCAGGCATGGTGCAGCGGTCATGGTCATAGTCATGGGGTCATGGTCATGGTCAGGACAGAAAAGGAGGATCTTCCTGGACCTGAGCTCCTACTGTGTGTGACACGAGGTGGCTCCTTGGCTTGCTCACCAGCACCACGGCCACCTTCTTAGCTTCCCGTCGGTGAGCCCATCCAATTCTCACGACAACCCACCAAGTACACACTGCCATCCCGTTGCCAGGGGGATCAGGCCCAGGAAACCACACACCAAGATTCCCAAATGATAGACCTGGCTTCAAACCCAGGGCAGCCTGACTCCTGAGCACTCTACACTGGAGGGATGGCAGGGTGGATGGCAGGATGGATGGCAAGGTGGATGGCAGGATGGATGGCAGGATGGATGGCAAGGTGGATGGCAGGATGGATGGCAGGATGGATGGCAAGGTGGATGGCAGGATGGATGGCAGGATGGATGGCAAGGTGGATGGCAGGGTGGATGGCAGGATGGATGGCAGGATGGATGGCAGGATGGATGGCAGGGTGGATGGCAGGATGGATGGCAGGATGGATGGCAAGGTGGATGGCAGGGTGGATGGCAGGATGGATGGCAGGATGGATGGCAGGATGGATGGCAGGGTGGATGGCAGGATGGATGGCAGGATGGATGGCAAGGTGGATGGCAGGATGGATGGCAGGATGGATGGCAAGGTGGATGGCAGGGTGGATGGCAGGATGGATGGCAGGATGGATGGCAGGATGGATGGCAGGGTGGATGGCAGGATGGATGGCAGGATGGATGGCAAGGTGGATGGCAGGGTGGATGGCAGGATGGATGGCAGGATGGATGGCAGGATGGATGGCAAGGTGGATGGCAGGATGGATGGCAGGATGGATGGCAGGGTGGATGGCAGGGTGGATGGCAGGGTGGATGGCAGGAAGGATGGCAGGAAGGATGGCAGGATGGATGGCAGGAAGGATGGCAGGATGGATGGCAGGAAGGATGGCAGGATGGATGGCAGGAAGGATGGCAGGAAGGATGGCAGGAAGGATGGCAGGATGGATGGCAGGATGGATGGCAGGAAGGATGGCAGGATGGATGGCAGGATGGATGGCAGGGTGGATGGCAGGAAGGATGGCAGGAAGGATGGCAGGAAGGATGGCAGGATGGATGGCAGGAAGGATGGCAGGATGGATGGCAGGAAGGATGGCAGGATGGATGGCAGGAAGGATGGCAGGAAGGATGGCAGGATGGATGGTAGGAAGGATGGCAGGATGGATGGCAGGATGGATGGCAGGGTGGATGGCAAGGTGGATGGCAGGGTGGATGGCAGGGTGGATGGCAGGAAGGATGGCAGGGTGGATGGCAAGGTGGATGGCAGGAAGGATGGCAGGATGGATGGCAGGATGGATGGCAGGAAGGATGGCAGGATGGATGGCAGGAAGGATGGCAGGATGGATGGCAGGATGGATGGCAAGGTGGATGGCAGGGTGGATGGCAGGAAGGATGGCAGGAAGGATGGCAGGATGGATGGCAGGAAGGATGGCAGGAAGGATGGCAAGGTGGATGGCAGGGTGGATGGCAGGATGGATGGCAGGAAGGATGGCAGGAAGGATGGCAGGATGGATGGCAGGAAGGATGGCAGGATGGATGGCAGGAAGGATGGCAGGATGGATGGCAGGAAGGATGGCAGGAAGGATGGCAAGGTGGGTGGCAGGGTGGATGGCAGAATGGATGGCAGGAAGGATGGCAGGATGGATGGCAGGAAGGATGGCAGGATGGATGGCAGGGTGGATGGCAGGGTGGATGGCAGGGTGGATGGCAGGATGGATGGCAGGGTGGATGGCAGGATGGATGGCAGGGTGGATGGCAGGGTGGATGGCAGGGTGGATGGCAGGGTGGATGGCAGGATGGATGGCAGGGTGGATGGCAGGATGGATGGCAGGATGGATGGCAGGGTGGATGGCAGGGTGGATGGCAGGGTGGATGGCAAGGTGGATGGCAGGATGGATGGCAGGGTGGATGGCAGGAAGGATGGCAGGAAGGATGGCAGGATGGATGGCAGGATGGATGGCAGGGTGGATGGCAAGGTGGATGGCAGGGTGGATGGCAAGGTGGATGGCAGGAAGGATGGCAGGAAGGATGGCCGGATGGATGGCAGGAAGGATGGCCGGATGGATGGCAGGAAGGATGGCAGGAAGGATGGCAGGAAGGATACGGGATGGACAGACAAGCCAGGGCACAAAGACGCTGTGGAATGTCTGCCCGTGGCCGGCCCCAGGCTGGGCCCTCCGGGTGGCTCACCGCATCCTCCCACATGAAAAAGCTGGGCCAGGCGCTCACCCGCCTTGAGCTTCTCCAGCTGGCCCCGAAGGTCCTGGAAGCTGGCCTCGACCCGGAGGGCCTCGGCGTGCACCCCGTCCGCTCGCTGCTGCAAGTCCCTCCGCCGCTGCTCTTGCTGCGCGCGCACGTCATCCTCGCTGGTGCGCGTGCTCGCCAAGGCCTCCTGCATCTGCAGGGCGGGGCAGGCGCCCATTGCCGGGGGCAGCTCGGGGGGGGGGGGGGGCGCACGCAGAGGAGATGGCGGAGGGGGGAGCGGAGCGGGGAGGGGGCCTCACGCGCCTCCTTGATCTCCTCCTGCAGATGCTCCAGCTCCGAGTTCTGCTCGTTGATGAAGGTGAACTCCGCGAAGTTGCGCTCCTCCACTGGAGAGAGGCGGGAGAGGCGGGTCCGGAGAGCCGGAGACAGACGGACACACGGGACAGGGAAAGACAGATGTCGAGAAAGACAACACAGACACAAGCCCGCAGAGGCAAAGAGAGACGGAGAGGGAGAGGCACAGAAAGCCAGGGGGGACACAGAGGACATCGGAGCAAGTCAGAGTAAGAGAAAGAGACGGCGGCAAAGTCAAGAGAGGCCCAGAAATGCTGCGAGACGCAGAGACACAGAGGAAGAGAGAAGAGAGGGCGAGAAAACAGCAGAGGTAGGGAGAGAGCCCAGGACCCGGGAGAGGACAGCAACAAGTACCCGGAGGGAGAGACACAGAGGTTGAGGGGAGATGTGGAGAGAGACCGGGAGGCCCGTAATTGGGGGGGGGGGGCAGGGAGACAGACACACCCAGAAACAAACGGACATAAAGACACACTGAGGGGACTGAGAGATGCAGGCCAGAGGGAGACACACACAGAAGGAAGGGCTCAGAAGGCCCGACGGGGAGGGAGAGAGACTGGGGACAGGGCAAGAGGGGCAGAGGCTGGGCGGCCTAAGAGGGGCGAGGAGGGCGCGCCTGACGCCCCGAGTCTCCAGCGCAGGTGCCGGAGTCCCCAGGGCCCCCCAGGAGGCCCTCGGTTACCGGGACGGAGCTCAACCTGCGCCTGATTGGGGGGGGGGGTGCGGGGGTCCCGCACCTGGGCCTCCTCCCTCCGCCCCGTCGGCGCGGCCCCGTACTCACTCTCCAGGTACTTCTCCACCAGCATGTCCGGGTCGCGTTCCCCGGTCAGCTGGGACAGTTTGTTCATGGCGTCCTCACAGCGCATCACCAGCTTCTCCTGGGAAGTCTTCCGGAGGCCCTCGGCCACCTCGCGGGCTGGGGGAGGAGGAGGGGCGCTGAGGTCGGCGTCCGCGGCGGCCAGGGGCGCAGCAGGACCTGGGTGGGCTGAGCGAAGGCCGCGCGCGCCCCGCCCGCCCCGCCCCGGGAGACCCCGAGCCCCGCGGGCCTGGCGGCCTGGCCCGGCCTCACCGCGTCTCTCGCGCTTCTCGACGACCGCGGGGTCGGGCAGCCGATCGTTGTTCTTGAGCTTGAGGAAGCGGTGTAGCTGCTCCAGGTGCGCGATCTGCCGCTGCAGGATCTGCACCTCCGAGTCGTTCTGGGCCACCTCCTTCTCCGCCCTCTCCCGCAGCAAGCCTATCTTGCTCTTTGCCTCCTCCCTGGGGTGGGGTGGGCGTGGGTAAGTGAGCCCAGGGGTCAGGGAGACTGGGGGATCGGGGTCAGCCTGGGGTCCCAGGGCGGGGGCAGAATCAGGTTGCAGTTTCCCCGAGGTCACAAAAGGCAGAAAACTTTCTAGGTTCCTAGAGGTGAGCCAGGTTGCGGGGGGGGGGGGGGGCGTTGAATCGGGGGCCTGGGGGGTGTGCTGGGCCATGGAAGGGACTGATGGGGCATTGCTGCAGGGCACGCACAGGGGCGTCCGGGCGGCCTGGGCATGACCACGTGAGCCATAGAGCAGGAGGCGGGATGGTGAGGAGGGTACAGTCAGAGATTATACTCAGGCCCGGAAGGGGCAGACCCAGGTGATAAGGTAATGGTGCTGGAGTTTGGGGGTCGTGTGGTTGGAAATATAAGAGGCTTGAACCCTTCAGGGCCTCATGTTGGACAGACGGATGACATCACCAACACTAACGTGCACACCCTTTTGAGGTATCACGGACGCTCTAGAAGCCTCCGGCCCTGAGCCCCTTCGGGCCTGCCCGTCGGAAAATGTGGCTTTTAAGCTTTTGAACACAGCGCGCCGCACTGCAAATTCCGAGGGTCCCAAACCTACTTCCCAGGTCACAGGGTCAAAGGTCAGAGGGTCATCATATCAGGAGACTAGCAGGCCAGTGTCCTCAGGTCCCTGCCCATGGACCATTCTAGTTCCCACCTTCACAGCTTTGCCTCCACCCAGAGCACCAGCTTCTTGCTCTGTTCAGATTCCTTTAAGACCAATGCACATCAGGGCGCCTGGGTGGCTCAGTTGGTTAAGCGACTGCCTTCGGCTCAGGTCATGATCCTGGAGTCCCTGGATCGAGTCCCGCATTGGGCTCCCTGCTCGGCGGGGAGTCTGCTTCTCCCTCTGACCCTCCCCCCTCTCATGCTCTCTCTCTCTCATTCTCTCTCTCAAATAAATAAATAAAATCTTTAAAAAAAAAAAACAAAAACAAAACCAGAAGACCTATTGGGGCGCCTGGGTGGCTCAGTTGGTTGAGCGACTGCCTTCGGCTCAGGTCGTGATCCTGGAGTCCCGGGATCAAGTCCCGCGTCGGGCTCCCTGCTCGGCGGGGAGTCTGCTTCTCCCTCTGACCCTCCTCCCTCTCATGCTCTCTGTCTCTCATTCTCTCTCTCGCAAATAAATAAAATCTTAAAAAAAAAAAAAAAAAAAGACCAATGCACATCAGTCCTCCTGGGTGGGAAGCCTCCTCTGGTGCCCACAAGCCCCAGTGACACCTCCAGGTGCTGGTGGCTGCCCTTCAGGGATTAGGACTCACATCTCTTTCTGTGCCTTGGGCTCCATGCCAACCGGGAGGCAGGGAAGAGGGGCCCTGACTTGCTGAGAGCCAGGCCCTGCCGTTATTATGGTCATGTCACAGTGGAGGAAACAGACTCAGAGAGGGGATGCGACCTGCCCCGGTCATCCAACAAGGAGGCGCTGGAGACCCTCGCTGGTCTGACCAGGAGTGTCGGCGGGCTAGCCGCCCAGGGCCTTCTAGCTGAGACCACCCTGTCCTTGTACCCAGCTGCACCGCCCACCGCCATCGGCAGAGGCTCCCACCACATGTGGCACTTGGCAGAAGAGAGGAGCCGGGCCACTCGGATTCTCTCTCTCAGAAACCGAATTGAGAAGGGCTAAGAATGCAAGAGCAGGGAGCTGCAGCTAGAAGGACGCGTGGAGAGAAGCCACAGAAGGTCATGTTCTGAAGGTCAAGTTCCCTGGAAGCCATGCATGAGCAGAAGCCGTGAGACGCAGTGGGGGCTCTGAAGGGGTCGTGGCGGACCAAAGGCGAGAAACTGCAGAGTCAGCCCCAAGAAGGAAGGAAATACTGATCTGGGCTACAACATGAGTGAACTCCGAAACTGCTACATTCAGCGAATCACTGAATCCGCGAATCGCTGCCATGAGATGCCTGGAACAGGGAAGTCGGTAGACACAGGAAGGAAACCAGTGGTTTCCAGGGAACTGGGGAAGACAGAGTGACTGCATATTGGGTACTGGCTTCCTTTTGGGGTGATGGGAGCGTTTTGGACCCAGAAGCCAGTGTCCTAAATGCCACTGAACTGTACATTTCAATGTGGTAAATTTTGTTATGTGTGTCTTAGCAAAGAAAGAAAGAAGGAAAGAAAGAAAGAAAGAAAGAAAGAAAGAAAGAAAGAAAGAAAGAAAGAACAAAATAAATAAAAAGAAAGAAAGAAAGAAAGAAAGAAAGAAAGAAAGAAAGAAAGAAAGAAAGAGGAAGGAAGGAAGGAAGGAAGGAAGAAAGGAAAAAGAAAAGAAAGCCAGCCCCGGGGACAGAGATGGGCTTCCGGATTCCACACACATGACTCCGTCTGAAGGTGGCCCAATAGGATCTCTGTCCCTTTCAGCCAATACTGATAAGTAGCAATCTAATTACCCTCAGGCCCCGATGCTTCCCCAGCCCCCTGGCCCCTGCCACCTGAGGGGCCGCATGCACCATCTTGATTCATTCTCTCCACACCCCATGTGCTATGTGCTATTAACAGATTGGGGCCAAAGAGGTTAATCCATACACTCAACGAGTGGGGCCTTGCCAGAGGAACTGAGAAGTCAGTGGAGGAGGGAAAGGGGCACCCCATAAAAAAAAATAATAGGTTATGAGAGTCTATTTCTAGAGTTCTGACCCCTCCCGCCAAAGCCTTAGGGCAAGGTGCGTACTGCCTGAGCTCTGTGCGGCCCCAGGAGGGTCCCTACCTGACAGTGTAGGCAGCTGCCGAGGAGACCATTAGGGAGCTGACCATGTGTCGCAGAAGCTCGATTTCCTGTGGGAGAACAAAACCAATGTCCTTCCTACAGCTCCTCACTGTAGGGCTTTCCCTTAGGCCCGGCAGCTCCCCTACAAGAACGGGGGACTCCTGCGCCATCCAGATTTGTGGACCTTCCTCATTAGTGGCCGCGGGGGAAAGGGATCTTAAAGGGGTACCGAGTACAGGGAATGCCAAACTGATGAGCTGGAATGCCAGCTTAGAGGGCTTATTCCGGCGGAACCCTCAGCCCAGAACATTCTGAAGAGCACCGACCTAACTTTGTGGTCTTGTTCAGCAATTTGCCTGAATTTCATAATGGTGACCACACGAACCTGTTTTCTAGTTCCAAAGAAATGTCTTTGCAGTATTATGGGTAAAAAGGGCTCTTTTCGGGAGGAAGAGGGAGGAAATTACATATATATTTACACACAAATATAACGTGTATATATTTATATCCAATATACATATATGCACACATATAAAGTGTGTTACACATACAGTCATTCATATACATATGTATATGAACACACACACACACGTGCACACACACACAGGGAACGAACTGGAAGAGACGGAGAGGAAATGGTGTTTCTCTGGAATACCTTTTGGAGTAGTTTTGGTTTGGGAACCCCTCTTTAAGGTTTACATATGCAGGGGACGCCTGGGTGGCTCAGTCGGTGAAGAGTCTGGCTTCTGGCTCACGTCATGATCCCGGGGTCCTGGGATCGAGTCCAGGGTCCTGGGATCGAGCCCCCGAGTCGGGGGGGGAGTCCCTGCTCAGCGGGGAGCCTGCTTCTCCCCCTGCCTCTGCCCCTCCCCCCACTCGTGCTCTCTCTCACTCTCAAATAAATAATCTTAAAAAAAAAATAATCAACAACCAAGGGCACATCAAAAGGTCACAGAAGCCAGCTTGAAGGGCTCCCACTAGCTCCCACTAACTTGTCTCCCTTCTCTGGGACAAGTTGAACATCATAATGAATGATGATGGCCATGGAGCAAAGTGAGAATCCACGAATGCTTACTGATAACACACAAGTACACGGGGAAGAATGAGAAGCTCTTCCTTAAGTAAAACGCTCTCTTACAACGTTCCTCTCTCGTAGGAGGAACGAGAGAGGTAGATAAAAGATCACCATTCAGCAGCCGTTATAACGGTAATCATCATCCGGGCAAGAACCGTTAATGGATGCCCAAACAACCGAGTGGAAATGTGCCAGGGAACAGGATATTTACGTGGTCTCCGAGGAGCTCCACTTACTTCCCACAAAGGGAAAACACTGGAGACACATGGCTGACCAAGGGACCAACATCAACATCACCAGTTAAGGGACCAACTTCCATCCTGTACCTCCTACCGAATGCGCACCCAGGACACAACATCACCTCTGAGATATTCCACCCAAAATGCGCAGCACGAATCTCATCGTGAAGAAAGATCAGACAGACCCACGTCGAGGGGCTTTTGTACCACATGACTGGCTTCCAAAATGCCAAAGTCATGACGACAAAGCAGGGCTGAGGAATGGTTCCAAAAACAGAGCTTTGGACAACCACATGCAGTGTGGGTCCCTGGCTGGGAGCCTGGAGCAGGAAAATCAAATTAGCTATAAAGGACGTCATTGGGACCATTGGAGAACTTTAGACAGGGACTATTTAGAATTGTAATAACACTGAAATTCCTGACTTGGATAACTGCCCTGTGTTTCTGCAAGAAAATGGTCTTTTTTTTTCTTTTTTTTTTTTAAGATTTTATTTATTTATTCATGAGAGACAGAGAGGCAGAGGGAGAAGCAGGCTCCCAAGGAGCAGGGAGCCCGATGCGGGGCTCGATCCCAGGACCCTGAGATCATGACCTGAGCCGAAGGCAGACGCTTAACCATCTGAGCCACCCAGGCGCCCAAGAAAATGGTCTTAAACTTAGGATATACACACTGAAGTTCTTAGGGGCATAATGTCTGCCACGTGCTCTCAAACAGTTCAGCAATCATAACAATAACTTATTTTCAGTAAAAATAATAATTAGAGAGTGTGTGTGTGCAAATATGGCAAATGATCAATCTTGGTGAAGGCTAGAGTTCTTTGTACTATTCTCTCAGGGAAGGGAAGGTGGAGGAGAAAGGAAGGGTCCTCACGGGACAGCAAAGGTTACAGAGATACCCACAGAATATAAGTGGTTTTGCTGGCTCATTGATTGCCCTGGCTGATGATATTCAAAATGACATCTCTGGCTTCTGCAAGTCTGAACGAGGCTGCTTTCTTTGTTAGAGGCATCTGACTCTGGCTGATTCCGTACTTGAGACCACGGTGTTGGGGTTGGTGGGGTAACTCTTGAATCCTCTCCTCTACCCCGGCTGGGCCAAGGGGTCCCGGGTTTTAGGGCCACTGACCTTCTGCAGCTTGTGGTCCATGTTCAGGTAGCGGCTCCTCTCAATGCGCAGGAGATCCAGTTCCTCCCTCAGCGCCGCATTCCGCACCAGCTGGATGTCAAAGCGACACGTGACCTGGCGGGGGGTGAGGGGTGTGCAAAAGTCCGTCTGAGGCCTGGCCTGCCTCCCTCTTCCACACTCAGCCAAGGAGTGGACACTTGTCAGAGGTGGAGCCCGTTCCCAATTTGGGGACCCTGAGAGCATTGCCCAACCACCCTAAGGACCCAGGCATCAGTCTCCTTTCCTTGGGAACCCTCCATCCATCCAGGATCGGGTCTCCTGATCCTTCTGTGGGAGCGCAGTGTTTCAGGCCTGCCTCCCTCCAGGAATCTGGTCCATCGTTTCTGGAACTTGACCCCGTGATCAGTTTTCCCCCAAAAGCCCAGAGATCAGGTCTGGAAAGAGCCAAGAGGATGATTCTCACCCTGTCCAACTGGTCTTCTAGGATCTTGATCCTTTGCCGGATCTTGACTTTCTGATCCAGGATGAGTCCTGGGGCCCTGACATCCTTACTATGGGCAAAGATCCGGGTCTCCCACTCCTGGATCTGGATGAAAGAGGAAGATAATCTATTTGTTGGCCGAATGTGGGAGAGACTGAGGCACCAAGAGAGGGTGAGTGGCTGAGCGTAGCTGCCATCTGCCATCCTTGTGGCCCCAGCCATCTGTTCTAATGATGCCCTTCTTCTTCTGCCTCTTCTGCTAACAATGCCCAACCTCCCATGTGGTTCTGGCTTCCAAACACAACAAGGCACCTTGCCAGCCACATGACCCGGGTCCCGACAATCACGGTGATTGTCCTAGGGATGGACCGGTTGATCGACCCAAGCTGAGCCAGCCTGAATCCCTTCCCGGTATTTTGGGGGAAATGCATGAGCTGGATGGATGGGACTCCGGGACTTGTGCTGTCACAGTCCCCAGCACACGGGGTTCCTGGGAGGATGAGGCCAGTAGACAAAGTGGAGACAAGAGACTGAGAGATGGTGAGAATGAGCTCGGGCGCCATTAGAATCCCTGTGTCTTGTTATGCGTGAAACCACTGCCAACCCGTCCTCATTTCTGTGTTCATCTTTATTTGGGGCATGCCGTCTCTCCAAATAAATTGGAAGCTCCACAAGGGCAGATTTTTGTCTTTTTTGACAAAAACCTACAGAGTAGGTTCTCAATAAAACATACAGATCAAATGAATACATGCATTGCTTAAGACTGTGTTTCCCGGGGCACCTGTGTGGCTCAGTTGGTTAAGTGTCCGACTCTTGATCTCAGCTCAAGTCTTGATCTCAGGGTTGTGAGTTCAAGCCCCATGATGGGCTCTATGCTGGGTGTGGCACCAACTTAAAAAAAAAAATTGTGTTTCCCAATTTGTGTGCTGTTATGGGCTGGATTATGTCCTGTCCACCCCCCACACCCCTGTCACTGCAAATTCTTATGTTTAAGTGCTAATCCCCAGTACCTCAGAATGTGGCCTTATCTGGAGACAGGGTCTTTACAGAGATAATCAAGTTAAGATGAGGTCATTAGGGTGGACTCTGCTCCAATATGACCAGTGTCCTTCTGCAAAGGGGAGATTTGGACACAGACGGGCATACAGGGAGAACGCCACCCTGCCAGCACTTTTGTCTTGGACTCCCAGCCTCCAAAGCTGTGGGACAATAAATTCCTGTCATTTCAGCCACCCAAAGTTTGTGGTACTTAGTTACAGCATCCCCTAGAAAACTAATGCATGCACCTGGGCACCCCAGAGCACCGCTGCAAACTCAAAGGGAGCACCACGGGGATATTAAGTCTTGAGGGAGAAACGTCGACGTGGATCAGACACTGCGTGAGCTACCAACTCAAGGCAGTTCACAGGTTCAACACAAGGCGGCGCCATGTTCCTTTCAATGAGTCACATCTTTGTGAAACCGCGTTTTTGGCCATTGCCGTGATACAAAACCAAACATCCAAAAATGTTACCAGTGGGGGAAACTGCCAAAGGGTACAAAGAATCTCTCTGTATTACATTTTCCAATTGCATGTGAAGCTACAATTATCCCAGTAAAATTTTCAATTAAAAAAGAAGAAAGAAAGAAAAGCAAGTACTGCACAGAAATCAGCATGGAGTCAGAGTGGTAAGTCCAATCTGACTCCAAGACCGAAAGGCACAAACATCCCACAGGTAAGTAACTGTAGTTTTGGAGAATGAAATAGTTTATATATATATATATGTTTTTTTTTTTTTCCTTCCCCCAAATGGTCTCTAGGTTGTTAGGATGAAAACACTGGTTTATTTCAAGTAGATCTGTTGGCAGAACAAGACTGGACCCCAGAACAGCTCTTGAAAGCTAGCTGATTGTTCCATTTTCAGGAATTATATGAGTTAAATTGTTGGTAGCTTGGAATTAACCACTGTATTCGTCTTTCTCTTTCTGCAAAACCAACTACCCCCAACTTGGTGGCTTAAAACAATACCCATCTATGATCTCGAAGTTTCCATGGGTCAGGAGTCCAGCACAGCTCAGCTGGATCCTCTGCGTGGGGTCTCCCAGAGCTGCAGGGCTGCGGTCTCATCTTGGACTCATCGCGTGGTCCCCTGCCAGGTGGCCCTTTACGTGGCATGGCAGCTTGTATCTTGACGGCCAGCCAGAGAGCACCTCTCTTCAGTCTACTAGGGGCCAGAAGCAAGTCACAGGTTCTGCCCCCACTGAAGGGTGGGTAGTACACGGGGTCACCTTGGGATATGTTCACTACAGCCAAGACGAGAGTATAGGTTTCCCCATTATCTGAAAGTAGAGCATTCCTATGAGACCCTTCATAAGCCAAACAGGCATAAAGTGAAGAAGGAATTACCATTAATTCATATGGAAAAAAATGTATAGCATTCCCCTAGCCCAAAAATAACCTCTCTTAGGTTTTTCTGATACCTTAGGACACACCTTGCTGACACATGCACAAAATAAACCCGAGGGGCACCTGGGTGGCTCAGCCAGTTGGGTGGCTGCCTTCGGCTCAGGTCGTGATCCCGGAGTCCCGGGATCGAGCCCCACATCCGGCTCCCTGCTCGGTAGGGAGTCTCCTTCTCCCTCTGCTCCTCACCTTGCTCACTCTCTCTCGCTCTTTCTCTCGCACTCTCTCAAATAAATAAATAAAATCTTTAAAAAATAAAAATAAAAAAAAATAAACCGAGATAAAGCACAGATGCTCACAGACAGTGCAAAACTCTAGCAGCTGGATGCTAGACATGCTGAGTGGGGTCCCCAGGAAGGAGGTTGGGGCGGGGCGGGGGGCAGGGGACACTCTCACTGCATTCCTTCTGGAAGCTCCAGGGGAGAATTCATTCCACTGGAATGAATTCCAATTTCTAGAAGCTGGATTCCTTGATTTATGTATTCCTTAGCTCGTGGCCACTCCAACCTCTGCTTCTCTTCTTCACATCTTCCCTATCATCACATCATCTTCTCTGATTCTGACACTCCTAGCTCTCCCTTATAAGGACCCTTGTGATGATATTGGGCCCACCGGGACAATCCAAGGTAACCTCCCCATCTCAAAATCTTTAATCACATCGGCAGAGTCTCTTTTGCCATGTAAAGTAACATACTCAAGGGTTCCCGAGATTACAGTGTGGACATCTTGGTGGGGGTGGGGGGACCATCATTCTGTCTACCATACTTCCTCAAGTGAAATTCATTTTTTTTTTTTTTACTTAATAGTTTTATCACCCATGTATGTACCCCTAAGCAAAAGTTTACTTTGGCCTGATTCTGAATTTTATGTAAATGGAATCATGTTACCTGTATGTTTTATGTCTTGCTTCCTTCCTTGTGGCTGTGTGTAATTGTGTTGCATTCATTTTTCATCACTGTATACTACTTCATGATATAAATACACCACAATTTATTCATTCAAATACTGATGGACATTTGGGTTTCTTCCAGTTTGGAGCTGGCTAATGTGACTAATGCTTCTTTCAACATTCCTTTACAAGAATCCTGGTTCCAGGGCATGTGCTCAGAAGTGTACTTGCTGGGCGGGAGGAAGAGTTAACAATAGATCTAAACCTGTGTTCTATTAGAAGGTGACTTTGGCTTACTCTCTTCCAACAGGGTGTTTCCATGGAAACATACTGGGTTAAGGTAAATATGGAATGCCAGCTCCGTTCCCAGGCAAGAGTGTTTATTATAAAAATGACCCCTGATTGGTGAACTACATTGGACTAGAAGGACTGAGAGTGGGCTCATGGATCTCTAGGGCCTACGTGACCAGCACTAAACAGAAACCTGGTTTCTCTGTGGGGTTTTCTTTTTTTTTTTATAAAGATTTTATTTATTTATTTATTTTTTTAAAGATTTTATTTATTTATTTGAGACAGAGAGAATGAGAGAGACAGAGAGCACATGAGAGGCGGGAGGGTCAGAGGGAGAAGCAGGCTCCCCGCCGAGCAGGGAGCCCGATGTGGGACTCGATCCCGGGACTCCAGGATCATGACCTGAGCCGAAGGCAGTCGCTTAACCAACTGAGCCACCCAGGCGCCCAAAGATTTTATTTATTTATTTGACAGAGAGAGAAAGAGAGAGAGCACAAGCAGGAGGAATGGCAGGCAAAGGCAGAGGGAGAAGCAGGCTCCCCGCTGAGCAGGTAGCCAGATGCGGGACTCGATCCCAGGACCCTGGGATCATGACCTGAGCCAAAGGCAGTCGCTTAACCAACTGAGCCACCCAGGCGCCCGGGTATTCTTTTTTTAAGTTGTCTTCACACCCAACGAGGGGCTTGAACTCACGACCCTGAGATCAAGACCTGAGATCAACAGCCGGACGCTCAACTGACTGAGCCACCCAGGCGCCCCTGTGGGGAATTTCTTATAATTGAGTATGCTCCTGGTGGGGGCTTTGACTTAGACCCTATCCTCCTGAGCTGCTGGAGAAGTGACTCCTCTTGTATATGAAGCCTCCCTATTCCAGAGTGGGCAACACCCAGCCGCTCATGCGGTATCTCCCAACTGGAGGTGCTGAGCAGCAGTCCCTGGATGCTCAGGGAAGGTGTGTTTGATGCTGTGGTTTCCTGCCCTCCATCATCCTACAAAGTGAACGTGGTACCAAGTTATATAGCCTATCGCATCCTGTGAGCATGGATGTCAGGTGGAACTCAAGACTGCTTCTGATGACCATGCCAAGTGGGGGTGACCCCGAATCACAGGGTATGTCTATCTGTAAATTTAATTGATAATGCGGGAAAAAAAACTTTTCCGAATACATGTGACAATTTATACCCTCAACGGTAGTTCATTAGGAGTTCCCACTTGCTCCTTCTCTCCCCAACACTTGGTATTTGGGGACACTAATTTTTGAACATTTGGTGAGTGTTCAATGGACTCTCATTGTGATTTTCATTTGCCCCTCTCTGATTACTAATGAGTGATGAGTAATTCCGACGTTTATTGGACATCTGAATTTCTTATTTTGTGATGTGTCAGCTCAAATCCTTTGACTATTTTTTAAAATTGGGCAGGCACCTGGGTGGCTCAGTCAGTTAAGCGTCTGCCTTCAGCTCAGGTCATGATCCCAGGGGC